CCATTGTCCATATACCATCAGCAACAGCCTTCTGTGAGAGAGAACAAGACCAACTTCCATCTGAAGAGGAAATTAGGAAAAGACATTGGAGGAGGATAGGACACACATTGGGGAATTAATCAAACTGCATCACGAGGCAAGCGTTAACTTGGTAACGTGAAGGGTAACGGAAAAAAGGAAGGCCAAAGGACGTATTGTGTCGAAGGTTGGCAGCAGACATGAAAAGGATCGATAGCATTTGGAAAGGATTTATCAGGACAGAGTTGGATGTAAAATGCTGGTGAGCGGCCTATGCTCCTATATGAGGGGTAACAGACGTAGGTAATTCCGGGAACTATTTACACACTGTTATTATATATTTATTCTTATTGTATAAATGATAAGTAACGATATTATATATATTTATATTCCATTTGTCATAAGCTTTCAATGTACCTATTGTTCATTATTATACGACTTACTATTCTTAAGTTATTCCCAATTTATTAGTTACCGTCTCTCACGCTCATGGCCATTTTTGGTTTGATCTTTTATGATTGTTATTTTTTATTTTATGGTAATGATGAGGTCTGGTTTGCTTGTATATAATCTACATATGTCTGAAATATACGATTTATTGTGTGGAGTATGAGATTGAGTTTTGGACTCAACGGGCAGGGCTTTGTGAGAAGAACCAATAAGAATTCAGAGTTCACTCAAGGCTGCTAGTGCTGGTTGACATATCATTAGTTTAGCACAAGAACAAGGTCATGCAAATCGGTGTGTGATAATTGACGGGCAAAAGTCAACTGTTAGACAGAATTAATGATTGAATTAATACACTCGCTTTACATTAACCTAATGTAAGATAAACAACAAATCAATGAAAATGACATCAATAATAGTGAGAAATTAAATAAAAGGTCTAAAAAAAAACAAGTGAAGTAAAAAGATATGAAAGATGGAGGAAATTGTAATAATAAATTTTTGAGAGAAGATTAATACGTTTTAATCAACGTGAATGGGGCATATTGTCTACTACACTGAACATCAACTTCAGTTACTTCTAGTTCTAAACTAACGTATGAACACAGTAATCACATCTCAGATAAACTTCATCTAGTTTTATATATCGAGCGTCAATCACCAAAATTTAGTTTTACCTTCATAACAAATAACACCATGCAATTAAGTTATTAATTTATGGAGAAGATTCATTATACTGAATGATAACACTTCATGAACAGAGTAAACCTAGTAGCTAAGTTTGCTATCCCATTAGTTAAAGTAGGAAATGAGGCCTGATAATCGGTTAAAAATCTACTTTATTATGTAAGGATTGTACTTGACTATGGTTCTTTTTTCCAATAGGACCTATCTCAAAAGAAATCCCGTTACAGTTCAAATTAATTGAAGGCGATGTTATTTTTGTCAAACCCACGGAATAATAAAGTTCGAGAATGTCGGTTTCAGCAGATCCGCTTAAATTGATTATTTAGCATCAGCAAAAAGAATTTCAAGCATCACAAATGCATAAAAGTTCTTAATTCAAGAAAATTCAGTACAGGTGTCCGAATTTAGGGGCTCAAATACTGAATATCTGATTGATTTAGTCAGCGAGAATTTACTCAGGCCAATCTCCTAGTAGTATTATGAATATACTCGAGATAATTCAAAAAAACAGAACACCAGTCTTAGGGATAATGTAACTGGTAAAATCCACAAGCAATGCAGAAAACCAAGGACACAAGGAAGTGAGAGAGTGTGTAGCGTGCAGAGCGGAACAAACCAGAGAAGGCATGTTAGCCAACTCCATTCAATTAATCGTCATTCAATATTTATAGTCAGAACAAAAATAAGCAACAGACATGTAATGAGTAGGATGAGGAATGCACACACATACACACATAAAAAGTCAAGGTTAACAAGCTAATAATTAGCAAGGTCAAAATGTCACTCAAGAAGAATGAATAAATTGGCCTATCTGAAAGCTAGAATGAGCTATGTGGGTTTGACATAGTACCCAATACTACAGTATCACTTTGATCTTGATGCAGGTTCAACATATGAATCATGGTTCGAGCGATCTGAAGACGTTTTCCAAGTTGCTTTTCCTTATCATAATGATTCTTCAAAGATGAGAATTCTAATTCGGAAACTTATGTCAGCTGAACATAAAAAGTGTTCAAATCTTATATTGCCAAAAAACTCGAAGACTTTTCCTTTAATAGTACGTTACAATAATTAAGAGAAATTTTCACTACTCAGACTCCTTTATTTAGCTTGAGATAAAATTGTCTTAGAATTGTTAAGAGACCTGAAGATGTTTCCGATACTGCATATTTATCAAAAAACAATACATGAATTTTAATATGCGTTCAATTTCAGATGAAGAAATTAAATATAATTGTATGCAGATTGCAATCATCGTCAGACTCAGATATTCACACTAAAATTTTAAGAAGAATAGAGTCAGATCCCAACCTTAAGCTGAAAGATATTACAAATGAATGTCGTATTATTAATCTTAAAAATGTTGGTAAATGATCGAATGTCCAAATCTTATTCATACATCTGGCGTTAATCCTAATTCATTTGATTTGATGAAAATTTCTCATTTATAGTGCATTATTAATGTCACAAAGCACGACTCGCGAAAATTTCCTCACCCAAACTGAATTTCCAGAACTCTAATCCACGTCGCTTTCTAAGGCCTCCCAATAGTTTCTGGAACTGTGGGGCATGACATTTCTCCCATTTCTGTCTATCTAATTATCACAAACGCTAAAAATGCGGAGTAACTGGCCATATGAGGAAATTTTGTAAATGCAGCAAACCTCCATCTCATTATCAAATGTCGAGGTTAATCACTTGTGCGTATCTTTTTCCAAAATCTAACCTTAAACGCTTACGCAATTACATATCCATTTATGTCAATGATCGTATTATCACTCTACAGTTGAACACTGCATCCAATGTTACCTTTATTTCTCACAAAACTAGGCACAAGCGTGGTCGGCCAAGCATTCTTCCTACTACTGATTGCATAAAGAATGTGTCTTGCATCATAATTAAAATTCCTGGAATTATCAAATATATTGTCAAATTTAATGATCAAATCCAAATTTTGTGCCACTGATGAATCCTTCAATCTATTGGGTCTTGACTGCATCACAGAAATAAAAATGTTGGATTACCCATTTAATCTTATTTGCAATCCAGATTTAGAAATGTTCAACCAATCACCTAATCTTATTTTTAACAAAGTATCTTCTTATTCTCATTTGATGCACAAATGGAAGCAGAGGTTTTCTAGTAATTTTCAAAGTGATCATAAGGGGAGGCCACAACAGAGAAAATCACCCCGAATCCAGCCTCACCCAACAGTGTCTCCTCTGCCGAGTCAATGTTCGGAGGGGAGATTCAGAGTTCATTTGATAGCATGTATCCAAAAATAAGAAAACGAGATTACAAACTCAAAACGAGGAGAGTGAAACGTCAGTTTCTTAATAGGTTACTTGTGTATATAAGAAACTTCCAACAATGTGGGCCTGAGTGGGTAGTGGGTAATATTGTAAGAAGGGTCGGTGACGTGATGTACAAAACTGATGTTCGAAGTAAATGCCTGATGCGGCATACAAACCGAATCTGCGACAGACTACTGAATTCGGATAAAGAACCTCTTAGCTGGAACTTTTCACGAGGTTACTTAATTGATACAGTCAGTCTGAAGCGACAAGATCAGTGCAGAAGAAGTGATGACCAGACTCCAAGAAGACAACTTTTCCCTCAATGCCTTCAGTTAGAGCCAAGGAGCAAGACTTATTTTTGGGAGTGAAAGGTGATATGGTAATCCAGTGAGAAGGCGATGTGTGGACAAGGACGTCAATGATTGGTATTTTGTTTAGTCAGACTTGTAGATAGTCTAACAGGCGTTAGATGAGTTATATATTCTCCTATCCTTATTATTATTATTGATCGTGATTAGATTGTGTCGTCTTGTTGTCGGTATTATGGTGTGGAAATATATTCACGTCCTAGTCAGGCTAATCACATATTCTTAATCTGAGTTGTGTTGAAACCCTGTGGAATAGATACAAGAAGGGAATCCAGTGTATATATTCGTCTAAGGCAAATTAACGTCCCATCCGTGTAGACGAAGAATATATATATATTCCCGTTACAACAACTAGCATTCAATTTGAATAAAAACTTATTTTGAGTAATATTAGTCCATTTGAAAAAAATAAATGATCTGTCAAAAATCATACTATTTCACATAAAAAATATCTAATGATATGGGTTATTTTTCACTGAAATTATATATTTCTTATATTATCTATCTAAAATAATTTCAGAATCTTAATTATTACATTAGCATGTAGTAATAAACAATAATGTCACTACTCCAAACCTATCATAATCACTTTCAGTATTCGACGAACTTACAATACCTAACGTAAGTGAAACCTAAAATTTACGGTAAGTAACTATCTGAATTATAAAGGAACAAATCTTAGGGAAAATGTTGCTTACTAATTTGGGTTTGCTTAAAATTTATGGACCAAACTATAAAATACCTTGTTTTAACTACTTATCTTCTTTACATTATGCAAACAATGATATATCTAGAACAGATTTCTGTATAAAATAATTCAAATATTGTACATACATGGTTCACTAGTTTTATATTTAATATAGTCCATTCACATTTCTCATAGTCATCCTCAGTTTTTACACAGGGGTTCGTATACAGTTAAAGAATAAATAGGAAATAACAGGGATTACTACTTCACTATGAATTCAATGGTTACTAAAAATTATTTAATATGATTGCTGTTTGTCCTCTATTAATTTAATTTGTTATGAGAGTGTAGTGAGTATCTTTTCTGTTTTCAAAAGCGATTTCACAGTTTCCGAGACCAAGTTAATCAAACTTAATGAAAACATAACAGTTTTCAAACTAATTCGATGTTTATTAATAAAACCTATAATTAATAACTAGTAAATACGGCACTGACCTTGAGATTCAACACTACCATTTCCACAAGCATCAGAATGCCATTGAAACGCTTTTTGTAAATCACGAATTTCTGGTCCTGAGTATAAATAGCCAAGTGCCGTTTGAGCTGAAATGCAAGCTTTAGAATCACCATTGTTTGCAGCAAATAAAAAGCACCTAAATTCATTTGAGAATAAAGTTTTTGAGACCATTTAGCCAATGTGTTCGCAATACTGGTGAGGAATATTAGTCTACAAATAGAGGTACTATCTTTTACGTAATAGAAAAAATTTTAATAAATCAAAAGTTCAAGAACTGATAAGACGTTTGGTAAAAATGAAAAATCGAGAAGTATGAACACTTGCAAGAGAACGTGTTGGAAACAGATATTTGGTAACCTAGTAACAGATAACTGAACCCACACCAATAAACAAATGTTTATTGAAATACCAGGTTTTATTAATCTGTATGATCAAACGAAATGGACACCGACGAGAAAATCTAGTACTTGGTCACTAGTTACTTCTAATTATTCCTTGTATCTAGTAAAACTAGGTAGTGAATACCATCAAAAATCTAAGATTTCAAAGAAAATAAATACCTGTTTAATTATTTTCAAATTTGTGTAGACTGATAAGGCTCAAATAAATAACATGGATATTATACATTCATTTAATTTCCTCTCATCGTGCTAGTATGGTATGGCAACTTGGGACAATTAGGATCTGCCTAAGGTTGTACGCAAAGTGACTATACACTCGATTTTTAATGACTGAAACGTTATTTATAACCTTTAGATATATCTAAGTAAAATCGATAACTTACTATTTTATAAATCAACTATAACAAGATTTTAATGGTTAGATTTACCATTGATTAAATTCTATCCACTGTTTGAACGATTTTTGCATTAAGTTAAAACAGTGATTTAGAATTTATTATTTATCTGGATATCGTAGTTGAAGCTCCAATGTAAACCATAAGCCAACATATTAATATTAATTTTTATTATCAGTAACAACTATTAAGTTGATAGATGTACAAACTTTTCTAAATATAAGTACATTCTTTACAGTATTATTTGTACTAATCTAAAAATTCACAAACTAAAAGTCCAACGGAAATCTGATATTCGATCTATCGGATACTAAAATAAACCTTTTCTTCCAAACCAAACGATTATTGTACATCCATTTAACTTGAGATTGCCTAGTATTTTATTCCAAAAAAAATTAGGAAGATGCCTCTGACTGAAAAAACAACTTTGCTCAATACCGAGTTGATTTTGAGCAGAAATCGACAAATCAATAGTCAAATTACAAAACTTTTAGGTTAGTATGTCACTTCATTATTAGCCTTTTCTGGCTGCTGAATAAGTTATTCATAAAAAGATAGAGTTGCTTCATTTTTGATCAAATCATGAGCAAACAATATGATTTATCGTTTATTTGTCTTCAAAAATTTGTAACCGTTGAGTGTTTAATTTAAATAATAATTATCTAAAAATAAAAGTTTTATTTGAAAAATCCCCTTCTGAGTTATTGGCTTTAGTCAACTGGCTATTTTGATTTCTTTGCAATATGAACTGATACCAGTTGACGATATTAAAAATGGTATGTTGATTGTTTTATTTTGGGAAAGGTTAATTACAAAATATTATCACTAAAAACTAGTAACAGAAGCCATATGCATTGCACAACATTGATGAACCTACTGTTAAAATTCTTATCCGATCTAGGGTTTTCTTCTAACAGTAAAAATATCTGATTTGATTAAAAGTTTATCATGTGAGTGGTAAGTAGAAACATTTTTTGTGTAGAGAGTGGAAAACCATATGGCATTGAGTGGAAAAATTGTTGTCAGAAAAAGAGGACTTAGGTTCATGTTAATTTTAATTGCTGTGCCGTAAATATTTATCATGGAGAGTTCAAAGGTAATAAATACTGACCACTTTAATGCCAGTTAAAGCGTTAAAGTTAAAATCCGAATTACCATAAATGATAACTTAAAAAGGAATGAATTCATAGTCTATGATATTATATCATTTACTTAATTTAAATAAAAATAGTGTAGCATGCCAGATCCATACATTTTTAACAAACAGTAAGATTTTTTTTAAGAACAAAACTAAATGTTCAACAACTTAATTTTCTGATGCTTTTTATGATCACCCTCGTTTCATGATTTTCACTGTTAAATTTTTCAGCACGATTATCTTTCATTTTCTTGTAACATAGGTTCAAGGTACCAAGATATAAATGACGGCGATCAAAAGTGTTTATCTCAACAAGTTTATTGAGTATGTTCCTTGAAGAAATAAATATCATGGGTAAGAAAGAGTGCTTTCAGGAATGATACATACCAATTTATCATTTATTCACAAACAAAGTAGTATAAAACACTAATCTATATCACTTTCAGCTAACTTAATAAAAATTGTTATGGGAAAAAAGTTGAACACAAAATTTTACAAGGTTCAGGATATAAAATAATGGTAAAATCTTTATATATCAGAATTACTTCGAAAAAAATAATAAAACCAATTGTAGAGAAGTATAAATCAATAATATTATACGAGAATTGGAGATCGATAAGGAATTGATTCACTTATACCATAGAAACCATTGTCGGAACATGTCATCCAAAGTCTCCAAGTCTGGTTTACTTCTTTTTAAACATTTCCTAACAAGCAGGGTTGCACACCCCAGCATGGCTCAATTTAACCACTGATAACTTCATAAACTTTGGTGGTTGGTACATCTGTTACACATTTCTAACCACCGACTACCTCGACATGCGACATGCAATAGTGTTGGAGTGGGCCATAAGAAATCTAAGGACGGTCAAGTCAAAACATGAGGTTAGTTCATAAAATCATTAACTGATATTCGGAGCTGTTTTGTTAGGTACTTACTAGGAGAAGAGGAAAACACGACTAAGAGAGACTGGAAAAGAACTAGGGGAGCAATAACTTTAACATGTCAGGTGATCCTGGACTCCAAGAACCATCAGAATAAAAAATGGATCTCTTTAAACAGCCTGAAAAAAATTCAAGGAAGAAATAATGAGTGGGTAACAATCACCATCAGCAGTCGAACAAAAGCATAGAAACCCAAGGCACATATTAAGTATACAGAGACAAACAAATGGGCAAAGAAAGGAGCTGGGGATTATAAAAGAAAACATGTAGAAGACCTGGAAAAAAAGTAGAACAAAATCCAAGAGAAGAAAATGTAAGAGCTATACGAAACAACCAAGAAGCTTGTAAGAAAATATAATAAACCAGACAGACCGATCAGGAGAAATGAGGGAAATCCCATCACCGAGTTTCACGAGCAGCAGAATAGGTGAATAGAACACTACGGAGAACCCTTGAGTAGACTAATCTCACTGAATCCACCGGACGTTAAAGCAGCACATACTGACCGCCGCAGAGGTGATACCCCACTAACAAAAGAAAAATTAATAAGGGATCAGATAAGTCAAGGGTATCAAAGGTGCTGGACGAGGAGGTGAACCAGCCAAGGCACTGAAGTCAAACCTAGGGGTGACTCCACAAATATTCAATGTTCGCTTCAGAAAGATTTAATAAGAATAAGTTCTGACAGATTGAAAATAGGAACATCTTACCAAGATACCGAAAAAAGATCTTAGTAAGCATGAGAATTACAAAGGCATCACATATTTGTCAATACTAGGCAAAGTTTTCAGTAGATTGTTGGTCAACGGAATGAAAGATTTAGTACACACTCAAATTTCAGATCAACAACCTGGCTTTTGTAAGAATCTACCAGGTACAGACCAAATCACAACTCTGCCAATCATTGTTGAACAGTCAACCGAATGACACTCATCACTACACATCGACTTCGTTGGTTATCAGGAAGCATTTGACAGCGTGCACGGTAACATGTTGTAATGTCTTTTCGAATACTGTAGAATATCTGAGAAGTTGGTCACAATCATACGAAACTCTATCAATTGGCTGAATTCATGCTCAGAGGGGACCTCATAGACGCATTCCGAGTGAGGGCTGGTACCGGACGAGACTACCTACTCTCTCACTTCCTCCTTGTTCTGACAAATGACTAGATAATGTAGATCTCCACGTTACAGGCGAACCACATAATACAGTGAATATCATGGACACAGATGAACGATTTGAAATTTGCAGATAACAGCCTTGCTATCCCATCCACAACAGCAAACATAGAGAAAAAAGTCAGTCTAGAAGCAGCTTCTACGGCAATAGGCCTCAACATTCACGAGATAAAAAGCTATATTTTGAAATACAATACACTGAACACCATCTAGATTACACCTGATGGTGAAGCTCCAGAAGAGTTGTGAGCCTTTATACACTACAACAGCACCGCTGATAAACAAAAAGAATCTGGTGTAGGTGTGAAAGTACTAAATGGCAATGCAAGAACAACATTCCTACAGTTAAAACGTTTATAGAATTTGAAAGAACTTTCACTGAACGCCAAAGTCAAAATTTTCAACACTAACTTTAAAAACATCCTACTGTAAGAAAATGAAATGTAGAGAACTTCCATCACCACCAAAAATGTACAGGTATTTTTCAAAAACTGTCTACGTAATAGACACAGAATTCAGTACTCATGTATTAGGAAGAATAATTTATTTTAGCACAAAACGAACCAGCCGTCAAGTGAGGAAAAAATTAGGAAAGTATGCTGAATGTGGATTGGACATACTACAGAAACCATCCAACTGAACCACAATACGAGCTCTGACTTGGAATACTCAAGGGAAAAGACAAAGAAACAGACAAAAAACATAGTTCTTGGAATCGAAAACATACATCAAGTTCGGAAGAAAAATCAACTCTAGAAGCAGCGTGTTAATACGCGATGGACCTAGAAACGGTCACCGGTATTCTGTCAACGGTAAGTCTCCTACACGTGTTTAGGAACGAAACGACTTGGAAGATATGGTAAGCGATTACTTGAAAGTAACTGCCCATTGCAATCCATCGCCTGATAGTCAATGCATTCATTGCGCCAGATACAAATAAAGAATATATATAAATCATTCTTTTACTTAGATCTACATTCCTTTGATAACACCCATTAGACACACCTCAAAGCATCTTCCGTAGATGGACATACTCCGTAGCCTTGATAATATGCTCTTCCAAGATTAAAGGCTGCACTAAAAACCAAGTTTCTTTGGTCGACGGGTAAAGCTAATTGGACGTTCAAGGTCATAATCTCCTTAAAAAATTCGCAAGCTTTAGCCTGATGGAGTAACTATGAACATGAAAACTACTTGTGGGTTTGAAACTTTTGTCACGTCTTTACTGACTAGATTGTCATATAACATAATACCGAGTTGGAACTTCGATTTATGATCATTAAACTTTTCATAACCCATTCGGAAATAAGTCCACGCTTCGTTATATTTCTCCTGATTCTTCAGTTAAATTCTGTCTACCTTGGTTACCTTCTCGAAGTAAATTTGACCGAGATAAAATGCACATTGCTCATCACCTTCATCTAACCATTTTTTCAGTAATGTTTCCAAATTTTCACTAACTAAGTGACGATTGAAAATTCTTTCGGACTCAAGCGTGCCATTTGAAATCGCATTTTCTGCTGTCTTAGAAGACAAAAATTTAATATCTTCATGCCGAATACTTTTAGGAAGTCCATTCAGTAACTCCATCAATTAAAATATTGGGTGATTGTAATAGAAACAGAAGTTGAAAATTGATGCATTAAAAGCAACTAGCGGTCAGTCGTAAGCATAAGAGGTTGGTTGGCCTGTGGTAATGATGTATTTGTACTAACCGATGATTATTTTGTACATGATTCAGAGATTGAATTAATTTCCTGATTCAACACTGTTTTGCTCACTGGGTTCTCATGAAGTCGATACTGGTTTAAACTGTACTCGTAACTGTCGTGAGTTCCATTATTTTCGTCGATCATGCAAGTATTCGGGTAGGGCCTGTTATTAAGTAGCTTTTGGCGGTAAATAAATCCCAAAAAAATGTTCTACATGTCTTCGACACTTATGCTGGCCTCATTGGTTTTACTGGTCACATTCAAACTGGGGGCGCTCAGTCACGCATCCACACCCGTTCTAGAGTGGGTACATTGTGCGACACACACCTTGCAGCTGTTAGCCAGCTTAGAAAAAACGCTTCTTAACACATTGGTAGCTTTCCAAATATATCTTCAAACCCCTACATTTCTGATAGTTTATTTTACTGGGTTTGGATACTTCGATTTTAACGGTGTTATGAGTAGAAGCGTTATGAAACTCCGAATATTTGTGACATCTTTAGCGCAATTGCATGAATATCGTATCAAAATGTTCACTGTCCTCTCCCATTTATTAACCTTACTTCGGTAATATCTTGTCTACATATATATGTTTGAAATTGATCATGATTGTAAAAATGGCATAACCTGATTTGTATTATTATTCATATAGTTATTCACCTTCTTTTGTGTGCTATTACGTGCCAACCTAAATGAGTAACTTATTACAGTAAGTCATATAACAATTGAAGGCTGTCATGGCATTTTTAACAAACAGTTATATGGAAAGAAATTACCGTTTGTATCAGGATCCACAACGTGAATCAGAACAAACTTTTCTGATGTTCAGAATTACATTTAATCGACAGACCCACAGAGTAAGTTTAAATCATTGATATTTAGAGCTGGAACCATAGATTTTCCAACCTTCCTCACCGAAATTTTCGTGTCTAAACGAAAGTCTTCCCATGATAATTTATAACTCCCACGAACTCTAAACTTTTCATGCTCGAACGCACAGTCTACCCCCCCCAACAATTCTGGTGAAGCATCTTTTGTTGCCGAATGTTTGGCACTTTTATACTGCAGCATAAATGTGTCAACTTCCTTCCTCAGGTCATCGAATGTTGCAGAAGCAGTCGAATCATTAGTGGTTTGTAACGTCCTGAAGATATTTTGTATCTGACAATTAGAACAAGTGTGTTTGGGGGCAGTAAAAAATTATTTGGACTCTATACTATTCAATCAGGCAGTAACTGCACTTGAGATAAAATAATAGCCATCATCAGTCACTGTTACCACGTGAATCACTTTGAGAATGCATACCTTTCTCAGCGCTTATATAGTGACGATACAGTTCGATGAAGTTGTGAAAAACCTTCAGGTTACTTGAATATGAATCACTGACGATACGTTCATAGTTTGTCCTGTGAAATGAATCAAAGTAGCTGTATGAATTCACCTTCAGGTTTAAAATGATACTGAGCATGATGTCCCCTTTGAAGAAGGATATTTCGGCTTGCGAAATACTTATTCGTTGTCTGCCACGTGGCACACATCTGCATTTATTTACGATTTTCGTTTTTCAACTCTCAACTGTTCATTGTGAAAATCCACAAAAGGGATTAACGTATTGAAGAGAGGATAACAGCATGGTAGTTCAAGCACAAAATATTATCAAGAGAAGTCGACAACCCAATTGACTTCGCGAATGCGACAGAAAATGTTCGAGTCAAATTATCCTTCCAACCTTTTTGTATAGGAACAAGTATACATCCGAAATAATGACGCGGTTCTCTAATGAGATCTCTATAGCTCCCTTATAAAGGTTGCATTAATAAACATTCCGTATTATCAGCATATTCATTTTTCGTAAAGTACGAGACACGTCATTTACACGCTGAGTTTGTCTAATGCTTCTGTGCTGAATAGTAGCGCTCAAAGTAATACCACTTAGTTGAACCGTAGCAGCAAAAAAAATGTTAGGGTTCTATCAGGATAATTAATGAACTTTTTGGTTTTGTGATCTGTACCAATATCGCATTTCTTTCCAAATAAATATCGATGAAGTTGGCCTGAAGCCGTCACCATCAATTAACCATCCAAGACATTTGAAACTAGATACAAACAATAAACAGTTATTATTATTATTATTATTATTATTATTATTCACAAACATCTTATGGGTACATAAGTGTTGTGAAGAAACCATTTCGGGTTTCTTCAGAAAATACAATAATACACAATTTTCAATAATGTTAGCATTATACTTGCCATATTTAAAAAAAATAATAATAAAAATAAAATAAAAAATTGAGAATAATAATAGTAGAATATTAATAATAATAAATGGGGTCTTTGTAATTGAGAAGAATATTGAATTGAGTTTAAAGAAGGAAATGGAGAAAATAAGGGAATAAAAATAAAGGAGACGTGAAATACGCAAACAGTCTAATAGGGGTGTTTATGAACACAAAACAAGAATAAACGACTATGCGTGTATCGTTAAATTAGTAAGAAAAAATAATTTATCAATGTAGTAAGATATGACACTAGAATAAATGTTTGTGGAATTATAATTTAGAGTGATGCTATGAAAGTCACAATTTAGTGAAAAGTATGATAAAATATCACTATGTATGAGTCATATATGCATAGTGAAGATGAAACGAATCTGAGAAGTTAATTGAAGTGTAACACAAGTTATTGTTTTAATTACAAACTTCGTAATATTAAGAATAATATTTATTTAGAGGGAAAGAAGAGAAAGAAAAGAAGTGAACACCTAGTGAAAAGATTCATCCATGATAAAAATAATAATTGTTTTATGAATATCAACCTCAGAAGGAAACCAGAAATTTAAATAAAAAAATCCTTTAAAGCACTCGGATGAATACATTTAGATTTATGTAATAGTATACAGAGTGAAACCGGATATTAGTATAAATATTTGTGCAGTAATAGTTAAGACTGATTCTATGAAAGTCAAAATTGATTTCAAAGGACAATCTGTAGTTAAATATGTTTAGAAGGATAAGAAGATACAAAAAGAATATCTAATGTGTCGGGGAACTAATAATGATATTAATAACGGTAATAATGATAAACATGAACATAAGCAAACTTCATATATTAAGATAAAGAGAAATAAAACAAAATAGACGTGAAAAGATTTAAAGGTTTTATTTTGCTTTTCAAGCAATTAAATGGATGACGGACCTTGTTTGTATAAATCATTATTGAATACATTGATATTCAATAGGTGACATAATCCACTTTCGGAAAGAAAATCATCAAGGAGACTTTGAACCGGGTTGTAGTTTCACTGCAACGGAGGTTCACTGGCAGTCTGTTCCACATGGTTGAGTAGCGAATAAGGAAAAATTCTGACGTAAGTTTGTATGGGTTCTTGAAGTCGCTAGAATATTCTCCTTATTGCGTAGATTGTGGGATGATATTATAAGGTATGAAGGGGTAGATACTGATGAGTAGGAAATACCATTAATGAGCCGGTAGATAAAGACAAGATTTAATTTGATACGTCTGATCCAAAGAGGTTCTAAGTTGAGTTGTTGACATCTTTGGTAATAGTCTTTGTTATCGGAATACCCCAGAACAGCTTTGGTGAACTTCCTTTGAACACCTTCAATTCTAATCAGATCATTATGTCTACAATTACTGTAAACTAAACTACCATATTCAAGAATGGGTAAGATACATTTTCTGTATAGTAACAATCTCGATTCGATATTATTGAAGTTTATCATTATCAATTCGATCAGCTTTCTAGCTTTGGATACTTGAGATATAATGTGTTCAGAAAAGTTCAGACCATTGCTATATCTTAAACCAGGTCACGAACAGTGTTGAGAGGTTTGAGTGTATGTGTCTGTACAGTCAGATTTAAGTTAAGACAGTGACCAATTTGAATAAATCCGCTTTTGTCAACATTAAGTGGCATATTCCACGAAATAGTCCATTCGTACAACTTGTTTATTTCCTCCTGGATTACCGCAGAAATATAGCTTTCTTTCGTGGGAGAAGAGAATGAATAAACTACTTTCAGGTCATCAGCAAAAAGGAAAGGCTTACCATACTGAAAGAGGGAACACACATCATTGATAAAAAGGAGAAAGAGCAATGGACCAACCACACTTCCTTGTATAACCCCACTGGTTACATTTACAGGTTTAGAGTAGCAAGATCCAAAGCGAACGATTTGGCTACGTTCTTCTAAAAAAGATTTGAGCCAAGATAAAAGGGGATTCTGTATGCCAAACGAAGAGAGTTTTAAAAGAAGAAGTTTGCGTGAGACACTGTCGAAAGCTTTACTAAAATCGAAGTTATTTTAATTCACGGGGATATTTTTTGTCAAGCAGATTACAAATTAAGTCTCTGATGGCGAATTAATTTTTCAGGACCATCAATACAATTGCCATGTCGATCTCTGAATAAATTACTCATCACTTATTGGAATATGGCTGCCTAACAGGTAGTTGCATTTAAATAAACTGAAAAAAGTGTTAATCGTTGTCAAAATGGACGAGAATAGAGCAAAGGGGATTTAAAGATAAATGCAATACATATAAAAAAGAAAAACGAGTGAAGCACAGTGTTAGGACTGTGACGTGTAAAATTTGAAGTGACAGAGTTTGTTAAGTGGCAAATATCAGTGTTTTGTGACGTGGGCACTATGTGTCAGTCGGTTATTTATTCACAGGATTTGGTGTCAGATGGCCTATCGTCAAGTAGGGCTCGGTTAAAGTGAGTCACATTGGGAATGGAGAAGAAACTCCAAAATGCCCCATGAAGCAGCCTACGATAGATATAAATTGGGTAAGCATTTGATTAGACCGCATGTTTGCTGATGACCTATTTCAAAGGCCCGAGTAGCTAGTGTCAAGTAAA